GTGCGCAACGACGTCAACTAGACAAAATTGTAAGTTCAGTATTAGATTTTAAAACGTATGTTATACGTTATGATTCTCTTGTTCTCGTTGTCAGATCAGAATGTCAGAAAATGAAATGAAGGGTATAGATACTTAATATGCAAAGTACTTATCTGATCGTTTCATTTGCGTCATTGGGAGTTCAACTTTACCATGCTAATGCCATACTCGTTCAAAACACTGTCAATTATGTTTGCCTTAGTGGCGGCGCATATATATAGCCTATAATTCACCAAGATAACTTTTTTTACGGTTCAGTCAGTGCACGCGCGCGTGTGAAGTTAGAATGGTTATTAGATTGCAGTAGAAACCGGTGGGATCCTTCCCCACCATAAATAAAAGATGTTTTTAAATAAACACAAATGTAATATTGGATTGTGATAGACTGCATCTTCCATGCATAGCCTTCAGGTGATTTTAAAAGACGACATGTTTATCGCAGAAACTATTGTGTCACCGAGTAACCTGCCAAGCGATCGGTATAAGGCCAGGGCCATTTTCTTGGAAACCATCACTGTCTCAACAGCGATCTGATTCGTTCGCGATCTGATCCATTCGCGTTTAATCGGCCTTCTAGAACGGTCTAAATGGCAAATGAAATTCATAAAGTTTCGCGAAAAGCAATTGACTTTGTGTTACAGAAATACAACGAAGGACGTGGTATTGCCAGTGTCTTTCGAAGGTTACCTGTACCATACGGACAATGTAGATAAGGAGATGACGAGGAGTGATGAATTAGATGCTAACGAACTGAAGAGATGCCTATTTGAGCTAACAGGTAATTTTTGTAATTTTTAGTTCGATTGGTTTTTTAACGAGAAGTTGAAATTTGATTCAAAGATCAGAATTATACCAATAACGGACAAATCAGTATATATTTTTTCAATATTCTTTTCTAATTCAGGACTTTCCCTCGGCAGTTTTGTCGCCAACGAGATAAGAGAAAATCTTGGGTGGATACCGACTGGTCCAAATTCTGTGACAAATACTGTGAACTCTATGAGTGCATTCCCATAGATTTTTAGATCGATCTATCCCCGTTGGGAGTCTCACTAGATTGTTGTCAGCCTGACCGGCTTAAATGTCTGTCCCGCCTACTAAATGCTGTAAGGGGGTAATTAACTTTTGTGCGCGCTCGGCTCTCGGAACCTGACAGCAATTTAGCGTGAAACCCCAAGGAGTTCGATCCGGATAGATCGATCTAAATCTATGGGAACCCAGTCCTAGTTTAAATGTTCACGGAGGGAAACGTCTTGATTGGTGCCGGAAAGATATTTTAGATACATATGACGATGTAATTAAGGCAGGTAATTTGTTTTTTCGACAGCAAACAAGTGTGCTTAATAAAATATGATTTTAATAAAAAATGACCGCCTCAACAGCACTGTCTGGAAACATTGTATCGATGTACGTTTTTGCTGTAACATGTTCATTTTATTAATTTAGGAGCAGACATACTTAGGCTTTTGTTATTGTGAATTGAGACACACACATTAACACTCAAATATTACAACGCAATATTTCCATATTTACATATTAATATTTCCACTACAGATGAGCGCACCATATGTATGGAGTCCACAGGCAAGCTAATCTCCTGGAACGAGCAAGTCAAGAGAGGTCAGTGGCCAGGAAGAATGATCATCCTTGCAGGAGGAAGCCCGACGAATATTGTCGTGTTTTGGTATAATGGAATTGAACTTTTACACGGGTATATTAGGACATGCTCTGTGTGTGTCCCACTCTACAAAAGATGATCTCCAATGACCACATGACTGATGACTTTATGGTGCAACATGGTCTGCCCTTGCCTGAATCCGAATGAAAACGTATGGGCTGAACATAAACACCACCTCCGTACGCGCATTAAACCCACTACTTTTAAGACCGTCTCTTAGAAGGTATACACGAAATTTTGGGTCCTTCTGGAACAGCTAAATGTAACAGATATATCAATCGTTTAAATATGGTCGTGCAAAGGGCGTATGTCTTTATTTCAAAACAAATAAAAATATAAGGAATGTTAAGAGATATGTCTTGAGATATTTCTGGACTTTTTGTTCTCAGTTCAAAAAAATTATTTTTAACTACGTATAAGGTAGACGTGACTTTCCATAACTAATCAACTTACTGGTAAATTAAGAAAAGGATCAATAAATGTTTAGTTCTCCATTTTTTATTTGATCTGCCCTGACTCTAGTCTTTTGATGCAGTTTGACACATCATTACCTATAGCACGATATAGTACTCATGTTAGATACATGTCGCACATGTACTGGCGACAAAGGAAAACTAGGATGAGTAGTTAAGGTCCTTTGGAGCAACTGATCGGGAAATAGGGGATGAATTCAATTTTACTTCATGATGCTCCTACCATACTGTCTCTATTGTCAGACCCAATGTTGAATAGCAAGGGGGCATTCGGTGGGACTGTGTTATCGAAGTCGCCCATACATATAAACAATAATGTAAAGCTGTTTTTTCGGAGTTATGTAGAGCATGTTGAATGACAGAGAAATTCTTATTCTGAATAATGAAATCGACATTAGCTCTTCCGAAGTCCTGTTGTGGGTTTGAACGAGCTAGCGAGCGAGATAAGCCATTCATTGGCTAAATAAAAACAGACCAATCCTGTATATCACTATACTGAATGATAAAAAAACTCATCATCATGCAGCATTGTGCCGTCGTACATGTATATAAACTGTTAAGCATGTAATTTGTCGTAATTTGATTCTAATAGTTAATAAGCCTGTTGTTCAGCCACCTATCAGCTGATGGTTTATTTCTGGAAGTAATGTTGGTGTACTTCGTTGGCTGTTTTTTTTTTTTTTTTTTTTTTTTTTTTACATACCTTGACATAAAATCGAATATCCCCTCTTTTTTAATGTAACCATATTGTATTAATGAATTCAATTATCCAACTTTTGATTAAGGACATAATTGGAATGTATGTTATAAATGTTATTCGTTATGTTACTTGTTGCTTAAAGGAGTTGCAATTGGTAATGACTGTTTTAAATTTTGTACTTCATGAACTATACAAATGGCCTTTTCAATGTATAAAACGCTTAATCTTCACGATGGCATAATAACTGTACCCATTATATTGTTTCCTTGTGACACAAAAATCCCTTTGTATAAAAAATACAGTGCATGCATACACATCAAGTTTCCCAGGTCCCGGTAACTTTACATTCATCTGTTTGTGAAGACTAACAATGCATCTACCCCTCTCAAAAGGGCCTGATTAGCATACATTTAATTGGTGCACATGTTACTCAAGAACTCGCTTGATAGCGAATTGTGACTCTTCAGTTTCTTAATTCTTAACGTTCAATTCAAACGCATATATTGCACTTTTTATTTTGCAGTTCAATTAATAACGGCTGTTTTCACGCCTCTTGATGCTAAGCAGTACCCCCAGTACGCATACATAAGGGGAATGGACGATTGGCAATATACCAACCTAACCGAGATCAGCTACCACTTTACTAGCAATCCTGAGAAGGACGGAGGTACAAACGTACCAAATACCATTCAGTGCACTGAAAGAGATAATACCAACAACCAAGACTTAGACAATATTGGCTCAAACACGCCAATGGAGGACTACAGGTTGTGGGTTCCCACACAGAAAGAACTTGAAATTGAAGGTAATGAGAAGCCGTGTTAAAATCAAATTGCCGAAAATTGTTTTGCGATTTTTACCTCTAGGAGTATTGTCACATCTTTTTGGTGAATCCTCGTTTCTATAGTATTTCATTGTAATTTCATAAATCATTATAATATATATATTGCTAAAAAGTACCTAGTCTGGTGGGTATAACTTATATTGTGTATTTACAGAATCAAGCAGGCTGGTGACAATGTCTGACTTGTTCAGGAAGGATATACCAGCAAACGGTGTGTTCATTACCGAAGTGCCAAGAAGTGTTAAATCATTCTTCACCAACTACAAGTACGTGGCGCACTGCGGTCTAAGTAAAAGCAATCGCAACATGGTAGCCATTCGTATGGCCATGCCACATCGTATCCTGCCTTTCGTAGGTCCCAATCTAAAAGTATTTTCTTCGGTCAAGCCTCCAGAAATTCTTGTCCGGCATTGGGAGCGAAAACTGGGCAGCCGCGTTAGACCAAGATTTACATGTCTTACAAAGAGTCATGGTAACACTACATATGTGTGTCCTTATCCCATTGAACAGTTACCGCTCCACCAACAGCATGTGGAACCTGATGCATACTATAAAGTCCTCAGCAAGAGGTTTGTAAGTGAAGTTGATATAACACAACCAAAAATCCTCACCAATGCTACGATCCCTTGCGTAGTTAAATTGACTCATGGCATGGGAGGCACTGCTGTATTTTTGATAACAAACGAAACCGAACTACAGATGACACAATCAAAGATCATGACCACGCATCCCGATGCGGATCTAATCGTTACAGAGATGATCACAGATCTGGAATCTCCAGAATACAGTGCCCACTTCTTTGTTGACAAATCTGGGAATGTTACTTGGTGGGAGGTGGTCGAGCTCATTGAAGATGCCAATGGACATTCCATTGGAACTATGTGGACAAAGAATAATGGCCGTTTAAGACAAATCATGGAGCCATTCGTAATCAAAGTTGCCCAGGCCCTGCACCAAAATGGCTACTATGGGCCTGCAGGATGCGACGTCCTGCATAATGGTAGGCAGGGTTACTTGGTAGACATCAACCCGCGAATGACCTGTTCTATGCCTTTATGTCTGATGGCTAGGGAAATGGAAAGACGTGGCTGGTCAGTTGGCGTTTTGACCCGTCAACGAACACTAGACGGCACCTTAGATGACGTCATAGCTCGCGCTGAAAGCATCTCGGATGGCGAGGTGGTAATACTGAGTGGAGGAGAGCTAGAAGGGGGCGCCATTATGGCCTACGTCGCAGTCTTTTCAGAGAGCCGAGAAGCATGTGAACACATCATTAGCAACAAGCTTCCTTTTATTTGCACATCATCCCGACTTTCAAGAACTGCACGCTAAGAGGATAACACGGGCGTGTATTAGTAATTTTTAGGATGCGAATGACTGCGAGTGCAGTTTTGTCTCTTTTGCTTCCAGGTTGTATTTTAGCAACAAATACGAGTTCTTGCCACATGTACTCCCAAAAGGTCGATCATAAAAAAAGTGATATACTGTATTTGACTTGAGTATTAGCACAATTTGGGAGTGCTTGCCATCTCCAAAGAGAAAATGTTTGCCTTATTAGTAGTAAACTCAAATAAATTCGGTCAATGTATATATATGAATTTCTTTCATTTCGAACATTTCTCGCTTCTTGAAGTTAACCTTTCTTGTAATCATAAAGCACAAGCAGAATATAATTAGGCCTAGAGGTGAAAGGAAAAAATCAGATCGTGTTTTTTTAACATTTCTATTTATATTGAAGTAATGTCTGTGCATTTATTTCAGTGCTGAAACATCAACACGAACCAGGATTCCTGCAAGTCTTATTATTTGTTCTGTGTCCAACGCTTCTGTTGTTCTGTCAATTCAGCATTTAAAAGTATAAATTTCTAGCTGATGCAAAGTTTGAAACATCAACATACAAAACCTGCATCTGAAGACGAACCACGATTGCTCTAAGGGCGCATTCCCATAGATTTTAGATCGATCTATCCCCGTGGGGAGTCTCACTAGATAACTGTCAGATAATCCGGCTTAAATGTCCGTCCCGCCTACTAAAAGGTGTAAGGGGGGAATTAACTTCCGTGCCCGCTCGGCTGACAGCTATTTAGCGTGAACCCCCAGGGAGTTAGGTCGATCTAGTTAGATCGATCTAATCTCTGGGAATGGGGTCTTAGTCTTATCAATTGTACCGTGTCCAACCCTTAGGCCTATGATGTACTGTCAATTCCGCAATTGAAGGTGAAAATTTCTAGCGGATGCAAAGTTTGGAAGGGTTAATCATGGGTAAATTTGTATATTCATAAACAACCCTTTAGCTAATAGATAAAGCGGGTGAATTTTTGTGACCCGGTCAACTTTTCGGATTAAATAAGGTCCCTGTTTCAAAAAATGTTCTGTAATGTGCTGTAAATGTTCTGGCAAATAATTAATATAGGCCTACGCACTTTACTGGTCAATAAAACAATCTTTAAGGCAGGAAAGTGGGACAAATTGCAACAGTAGTGCACATTAAGTATGAATTCCATACTTTTGATCAGTAGTGCATAAAGATGTGGGCATTCAAAAAGAACTTTCAACTCTCCCTGCCATCTACTAAATGCGCTGAATATCTGCAACATCGTGGCCTTCTATGTTCAACATTGTATGTACGGACAATTTAGATTCCCAGAAAAATGAAACCTGGAAATACTGATGATTGACCTTAAGCGCGACTCTTTGTGTTTTTTCGTCTGTTATTGGTAAAATAATGAGTTATTTCCATCGCTGTTAACATTTCAGCCATCATTTCTAATGTACAATTTAAGGTATAATTTTGCTGTGACAAATGAACACTTAATTGATTTTATTATAATGGCACTATGCTGTACATCCTACGATGTGTACTAATGTCATGTCACATTGGCAAATATGGTATCGTTCCTGTATCATTGGTAAAATGGAAGTAATTTCAAATTTGCTTGATAGTGCTATTAAGTACTTAATGATGTCCAAGGTTAACGCGTGGTTTTTCTAGCGCACATGCCATTGTGCTCCCTCATTATCAAATAATATTTCCCTTTTTCGTGTGTTTTTTGTTTAATTCTTTCTGTTTAGTCGAAAGTTATAAGAAGTGGAGTGAATTAATTACTATTTAGCCCCTGAATGCTGAGATGAGTGGGTGCTCAGTAACATAAGGTTCCTATAGAAGAAAGTTGCATTTTCATACTTTTCTGTCAGTCTCAACGCTTCACTTTCTATCATCTACACGAGCAAAAAAAAAAAATTTTTAAGTTTTGCTAGCTAAAACTGAGAATTTACACATACATTTAAAGGAAACCCCCATCACTTCGTATGGAAATCAAAAGTAAGTTAAGTTATATAAAAATCGCCTGAGTGCCAAATTGATCTTCCGTTTCTGCCACTGAACATGCTGCGTCAGTGTGTACATGTACGTCCTTCTTAAACGCCTACCTGATCTTGTTGTAATAAAGGTGACCAAAGGTTTACGGTGGCGTTGGGAAGATAAATCGGTCATTTCAAGAAAACAAGAAGGGCACTTTACCCTTAAAAGACAAATTCAATTACTTTATTGGATTGTGAGGTGGTTCTTAATTCCTTGGCCTGCTATATAACGGTTTGATCCAGGGTGTGCTGAAGCTTTCTGTCGCCTTCTTTGTCACAGTTGATTCCACATGCCAGGTGCTTTGAAGGTAAGGGATTCATTGGATATGGTTGGATATAAGATACGGTTAACTAACATGGTAGAGAATGGTATCTAATATTCAACATTTACCACGTATTGCATCAATTTTCATTGCAGACGACATTTCGACATGCAACCGGACAGGTCTTCCAAATATTGCATTCTAGGTGGCATGATGTTGCTGCTGCTACCATTTGGTGTAACTTTACCAGGTAGGTTCTGCCATTATTAAAACACCAAAAGATGAAAGGGGATTATTGGGGTTGGCATTGACTCAATTTAAGTACGATTTTGAGAACATTTCGGTGCTTTTGCCCTTAAAGAGAGTTTTCATAATATTGTAAGGTATGAATTTACTCTAGAATGTCATCGGCCGAAAAACGTTCAAACTATACAACAGTTGATGACAATAAACAATAAATAAATAAATGAAAAAAAAACGAATGAATGGATTAAATAAAAATACGAATGAAATGAATGAACAGAAAAAATGAAATTATGAACCAAACATAATTTATTTTAGTGCATAGGCCTACGCAGGAGGACCATCTGCAACTGAACAGCAACACGAAACGGCACCTGGACCGTGCAATACGCGACTGCATGAATAGTCGTTCATCAAATGTGGATCATCCAGCGACAGACGCTTTAGTCGACTGCATCCTCTCTAGATCCATAGAAAACCTTCCTATACTGGATAATAACAACTTTCATAGACATTTCACGCTGGACCAAAGTTCCCAAAACACAATCATTGTCAGGAGATCGGGGCATAGTTTTGAAAAGCGTCCGTTCACCGTGGGTCGGTACAAGCCGTTTTATCCCTACGGGAAACCAGTATATGACGAGAATGGGTGTGTTACTATCGGAAAATACCATCTCTGTTCTATGCGATAAAAATTTAAGAACATCGAATATTGCAATTTTTCTCGAGATCAGTTACACTTTATCTTGTGAAAATATTGTACATATATTTTTTAAGCACCGGTTTCTGTAAAGGAGAAGAATGAAAAACAATGTTAACAATTTGTTGTCACACGCAGTGGCGGTCTTGAACAAACAGTGCTATACTTGTCTTTGATCAGGTAGGCAAATGGAATCTACAAAAACTTTTCATGTTTAGAATAAAAATCAATTACGCTATTCAAGCGTTTGATTTTTGATATGCGATCTATGACCTATTAACTGCAACTATACTGATATGTTTTTATAGGTATAAAATGTCAGCCTAACAAAACAACGTTCCGCTGTCTAGTTATTCTGGTTCTAGGTTCAATTACCATATTGAAATTTTTCTCACTTTTTCTGCATTTTTTTTTTTTTTTTTTTTTTTT